TTCATGTGAACTGGCCTTGTGGCCTTGAACTTGTGCTCGGAATGTGTGGTGACTTTGTGATCCACCCTGAGCTTGCTTTGCTTTGCTTGACTGGTCTTGTGACCCCTTGTTCTCCCCCACTTTGCCTATGGGGGTGTGTCAGATTTATATGACATAGCTACTGTAGGCTATAGTGGGGTAGCACATATGGGGTACAGTTTTCTAGGGTTTACATTTGTACCCAACTTTCCCTTAGTCAATTCATTCTCGTTTCTATTCTCACAAGCTCACCCCCCCAAAAAACACTGTTTTATTATAAGCGCAGGTGCGCTTATATCCGGGGTATTACGGTAGTATAGTTTGTGCCTTCTGACTTCGTAATGAAACGTTGTATGTTTTTACTTGGAAATCTCTTCTAAGGATGCGGTGCAGATCTGGGCGTTCTCATCAGGCTGATTGCCTCGATCTGAGCGATCCACAATTTCTGAGTAGCCCCAAGGGCTTTTTGGGACAATCGGGGGCAATCTCTCGATCGCGATCGAGATCCTGATCGATTGCTTCGATCTGATGCAATCGATTGCAATCCATTGCGTTCGAGAGATCGGGTTTGTTGGTGACATGCGCGATTACCGTATCGCCCCGGATATAAGCGCAGGCCTATTACCATCATCGCCCGGATAGTAGACATATAATGTCTTATCTCGTACACTACTCAAAATGCTTGGGTCATCTTGTATTTGGGATGGTTTAGGGTGTCTTATAAGTCTTATAAATGGAAAAAAAAAATAAGTACTCTGTAACATTAGCAAAGTGTGTAGAAACCTCCCAGGTGCCAGATTCATTGAAACAGAACGACCTCTGTGGTGATGCATGCAGCGCCCCCACTTGCCACGTGAGGGATGCAGCAAAGCTGCCACTGCTAGCAACATCCCTCCGTGCTAATAGCATCTAATGATGTTGCCAGCGTCGTTTTGCTGCCAGCAGCTCATGGATGCTTCCAGAACGCTGCTGGCAGCACGATGGCAGCGTGAGGGCTGTCCTCTATGAGGAACCTTTGGAAGGGGCACTCTGGCTGGGGGGGGGGGGGGGGGGGTAGTCGGGCTTGAGCTTCATTTGGTGCTCAAGGAGGTTGAGATCTCAACTCAACCTTTGCTCTCGGCAGGCTTAACCATGCGCAGCAAAGTCCCCGTAGGCACGTCCTCACCTCGCCCTCACGTGCAGGTGAATAACTACGGGCGAATTAACTCGCCTGGTGATGACATCCATGTAGCCATGGCGAAGAATACGCGCAAGGCAGGAACATCTACCACCGCCTCCGGTGCGAGCTGTGACGGGGACGACGGCGACGAAGAACACGGCGACGACGTCAAGGAGGATTGGCCGGAGAACGGCCACGACGACAGCGCTTCGGGGGATGAAATAGCTCCTGCCGACATCGATGAGGACGACTGGTGGAATCGGCCGGTTGGGAGTGACGACGAAGTGGAAGAGTGACGGGCTGGTAATACGGACAACGACGAGGGTGCCGATGCTGTTGGTGAGCACGCGGAGGCAGCGGCGCATGTAACGGGAGCGACGGTGGATGCGAATGCAGAGGCTGACGACGAGGCGGATGCGGAAGCGAGGACGGAAGAGGAGGCGGAAGCGGATGCCGATGCTGTTGCGCCCGCGGATGTGGCCGCAATTGCGGATGCGGATGCGGATAATGTGGCGGAGGCGGATACGGATGCTGCGGAGGGAGGTGCTGATGCTGTCTTATTTGACGGTGAAAACTCCGATGATGACCCGTGGAACATCACGGGTGACGACGATGTTCCGCTTCTTAAGCGGAGGCTGCGTCATCGCCTACAATCCAAGCCGAAGCGTGCCCGCGTGGTGCTCTATGATGATGACAGTCCAGGGGAGGAGCGTCAACCGCGCATCACTGCTGCAGACAAGGGGAAAAGCAAGGTCGCGGAAGCCCCTGCTAAGGCCACCGTTCGTCGCCGCACAAGCAACAAGAAGCGGAAGAATGACAGCGACCCCGGATCCAGCACGGGTGCTGCTAAGAAGAAGAAGAAGAAAACGCCAAACAAGGACGACATCGTGGTCAACGAGGCGCTCGACGGCGACGATGACTACGCAGAGGCTGCAGGCACGATTCCTTCATTCCCTGAGAAGGCGAAGCCGAAAGACCCCACCCTCCATAATCCCAACCCCTGTCCACCTTCCCCTCGCAGCAAGGACAGTAAGAAAAGGCGACGCGAATGGACCGTACGCGAGAAGCTCAAGTGGGCGCGCCGCTACCACGAGCTCGACTCCTTGAAGAAGACATCCTTGGAATCTACCGCATCTATCGCGGGCATCAGACGCTGGTGTGCGGAGGCGGCTGCGGGCGTCTACAAGGGAGCAGCGAACTGCCGCAAGCAGATGCACAGGGGGGGCCGCCATGCACACTACCCCGACATGGAGGCGGCGTTGTACAGCTACGTCTGCCTGTAGGACGCTAATGGGGTGGCGATCTCGGTGAAAGACACCCAGAAGTGGAGCCGTAAGTGGATGAAGAAATACCACCCCGGCAAGAACTGGAACGCGAGCTCTCACTGGAGCCAGCGTTTCCGTGACCGCTAGAACCTGGTCATGCGTGTGAAGACCAAGGTCGGCCAATGGTTATTGGCTGGTGAGTGGTAAAGGCCTTGAATTCGCGCTCGATGCTTGACTGCATGTTCCTCGCCCTTTGTTTCTAACCATCCCCTCCTGCCGTGGTGTGTGTTCCCTTTGCAGAGTGCGCTAAGGACTGCGAGTCGTTCTGGAAGTTCGTGCGCATCAACAGGGCGCAGCACAACATCGACCTGGCCCGCATCATTAACGCGGACCAGACGCCCCTATTCGTTGAGATGCCGGCCGAGAGGACGATCGAGCACCGTGGCGCGCGCTCGGTCCCGATCCGCACTGCAGGATGCGAGAAGACGCGGCTCACGGTGATGCTCGCGTGCACCGCATCCGGGGAGAAGCTGCGCCCGTGGGTTTGGTTCAAGTTGAAGTGTCAGAATGTTACATTTCTCTAGTCTGCAGTGGGGTACTCTATAGTGAGTACAGCCCTGTTAGGGTTTGCTATATGTATCCCAATGTTTGCTAGTGAAACCTCTCTTCTCTGTTTCATTCCTTCCTTCACTATTCTGACATAGTATCAGTGCGAAGGTCTCGGGTTCGAATCCCAATGTGTGGACTTCGGGCATCCAAGTGCGGGGGGGTGTCAGAGGTACACTGGTGATCCCCGATTGATCCTAAGGAAGGGTTACAGGCATGTTCACCTGGGGGGTTATGGGCGCACTGACCCGCTACTTTACAAGCCCTTTTATCCCAATGGTCTAGCGTTTTTTCTTCCCGCCGCGCGCTCGGGGCGCGCGGCGGTTTTCTGCCCGTCGCGCCGCCCTGCTAGCCGCGTGACGCCCTTCCCTGCCCGTCGCGTCGCCCCGGGGAGCCGCACGCGCCCCCCGTCGACCCTCGCGTCGCCCCCGTTGGACCCGCGCGACGCCCTGCGGGACCCGTGCGCTGCCCCGCTGGACCCGCGCGCTGCACCGTGGACTCGCGCGCTGCCCCGTCGACCAGCGTGCCGTCCCGTGGGAGCCGCGTGCGCCCCCCGTCGACCAGCGCGTCGCCCCAGGGGACCCGCGCGCCCTGCCCCTTGGACCCGCGCGCGCTGCCCTGTGGAGCAGCGCGCCGCCCCTTGCCCTCGTGCTGCTGCAGGGCGACTTCATCCCCCCCCATCCCCCCCCCTCCTTCCGCGTTGTCTCTCTGCTGCGTGTGCAGCCGTGGGGGAGGGTATGGGGGTGGCGGGTGTGCGTCGTCCCTTGCTCCTCCTCCTCCTCCTCTCTCTCCCACTGCTGCAGCTGCCGCTGAGGGGGGTGGGTGTGTGGGTGCCGAGGGAGTCGCGCTAGGGGGTGGCGTGGGAGTGAAGCTAGGGGTGCAGCAGGGGGTGTGAACGGGAGTTTTGGGACAAAGGGGGAGGTTGAAGGGGGGTGGCCGCCGTGAAGCCAGCAGCTCCAGTCGCCTGTGAGACCGTTGCGCCAGTCGCCCGTGAGCCCGTCGCTCCAGTTGCCCGTGAGCCCGTTGCTCCAGTCGCCCGAGAGTCAATTGCTCCTGCCGCTCGTCTAGCCGCGGAGCCAGTTACTCCAGTTGCCCGTGTGCCAGTTGCTCCAGTTGCCAGTGGGCCAGTTGCTCCAGTTGCCCGTGTGCCAGTTGCTCCAGTTGCGCCGTGTGCCAGCAGCTTCAGCTGTCGCCCACTACCTCCTCTCCTCTCATAGTCCCTCCTACTCTACACTTGCCCTCTGTGATAGCTTCTAGCTTTGCTTATATTTGTGAACTATAAACTGCTGCTTGTTGTGCTGATTATACCCCACTTTGACTATGGGGGTGTGTCAGAATGTTACATTTCTCTAGTCTGCAGTGGGGTACTCGATAGTGAGTACAGCCCTGTTAGGGTTTGCTATATGTATCCCAATGTTTGCTAGTGAAACCTCTCTTCTCTGTTTCATTCCTTCCTTCACTATTCTGACATGAAGAACGTGCTCAACTGTGAGATTTCGGAAGGTAAGCTCAAGGAATTCGGGAGCCGTAAGCCTGATGAGCTTGCCCTCCTTTGCTGACGCCCGTCTATCCCCTATGTGCCTGGCAGGAATCGTATGCCAAGCACAGGACAACGGCTGAATGGACGAGAGCGCCGTGCAGACCTGGCTGACCAAGGAGGTGCTGCCCCATCTGAACCCCTAGCGCGGCCAGAACGCGAGGCGTGCGATGCTGGTGTTGGACTCCTACCACGGCCACATCACCCAGACCATGCTTCAAGCTTACCGCACGCACAGCATGACCCTTGCTATGATCCTAGCGGGTTGCACGAGCCAGATTCAACCCCATCAACCGGTGCTTCAAGGCTGCTGTGCGAGCGTGTTACGCCAGGTGGTTCATACGTGAAGGGATTCACCTGAAGACGAAGGCGGGTGAGTAGCCTTTTATTTAAACTTTTGCACTGTTTTCTTTCCATGACTCTAACGGCTCGCTACCCCTGCCTCTGTCCCACTCGCAAGGAACCTGCGGCGGCCTTTGCACCCCGTGGTGCTGCAGTGGATCGCGGAGGCGTGGGATCAAGTCCCCAAGAAGGTCATCATTGACGCGTTCCGCCACTGTGGGATTTCAAGCAAGCTGGACGGGACGAAGAACCACCTGGTGATGTCTCACCTGCGCGCCAGGAGCACCACCGATGTCTCCGAGGATATGTGCCTCGGAGGAACCACGGGCGACAACACGCGCGTGCTTGGGCAGGCTCCAAAGGAGGAGGAGGAGGAGGAGGAGGAGGAGGAGGAGGAGGAGGAGGAGGAGGAGGAGGAGGAGGAGGAGGAGGAGGAGGAGATGTAGGCGGAGGGCGTGAGGGAGGTGGCAGTGGCAACCGGCCTGGATGTGTTGTACCAGGAGACCCCCAACTACCGCGGAGCGGCGGCTGAGGCTGACCGCATGATCGAGCCTAGGGAGACGGCTAGGCATGCCTGGCGAGTGCCAGACCTGGGTGTTAGGGAGCCTGCTGTTAGTGCAGGTGAGGAGGCCGTGACTGGGGGGGGCTAGGTAGAAGTAGAGATTCATAGATGTATGCATGTACCCCCCTAAAGTAACTAATGTTCGTTTAGAAGACACCCCCCTATTTATAAGAAAACCCCTAACCCCTGCTCTGATGATAAGACATATATGTCTTATCTCGTACACACAAATAGGTGTCTTATAATGAGGCTAGCCTGTTTATAAGACACACCCGGATAATAGACAACCCCTGTCTACTATTCAACACTGTCTACTATCCGGGCGATGACGGTAAAACCGCATGCCCTTATATCTGGAGCAATGTCTCCGAATCAGTAGCTAGTAGGAAGGAGCAAGCTTAGGAGTCATGCTAGAGTTTAGGCTAGGCATAGACTATCGAGAGAGTTGAGAACAAGAAGAGGGGTTTCACTATGAAGAGTGAAGTACAAATAGGGTAAGAAAAGGGGGTACACCACAAAGCAGGAAATTAGGATAACTACACAACAGCTAGAACTACATGCAGTTATAATAATATAACTCTGACATCCCCCCTTAACTGCATGCAGGAAGAGCCAAGTGCTAGACACAACCTGCAGGGGTACACCAAGCAGAACAAAGCAGCAGCACACAAGAGCAGTGACAACCAGTGCAGTAGTGGCAGATACAGCTGCAGTAAGCCCTGAGGCAAGAGAGAAACAAACAACAGTAGGTGCATGTGGCGCAGGTAGCCTGGTGAGCAGGTGCGTGCGGCAAGAAAGGGTGGCGGCAACGCAGGGCTCAACGGCAGCACCTGCCGCACAACAGCAGCAGAGAGTCAAGACAAACAAAAGTGGCGACAGGGGCAGCAGCTGGAGGTACCACGGTAGCAAAGGGCGGCAGTCGCAGATGTGTGGCTGCTTCGTCCGCCACTCTCTGTCGTCCCCCCTTAACCGCTCTCATCCCCCCTACACCTCTCTCCTCCCCCCCCCCCCTCCACACAGCAACAAGCGCTGCAGTGGAGAGAGGAAGAGGGAAGGGAGGGACGGGCTGCTGGCTGGTCACACCCGCCACCCCCACATCTCCCCCCCTTCCACGGCAGAAGCTGCGAAAGGGAAGGGGGGGGGGGGCAGTGTTAGCTGCTGCCAACGCTGGCGCTGGCGGTGGCGCAGGTGTAGGATCCGGCGCTGGTGCTGGGTGCAGGCGTTGGCGCTGGCACTGGCGCTTGCGCTCCGCGCTGGCACTGGCGGTCCGTGCTGGCGCTGGCGCTGACGACGGGCAGGGTGACGGGCGTAACGAGTGGGGGACGCAACGGGCAGAGCACAGGGCAACGACGGGACGGGACGGGCAGGCGCATCTGGCGCGACTGGGCAGAGCGCAACGGGCATGACGGGACGGGACCGGTAGACGCCCTGAGCGCGACCGGTGACGAAAAAAAAAAATCGCATTTCGCACTGCAGCGTGGGTGGGCCCATGTTCTTTGGAAGAGGGTAGGTCCTAAGACTGTAATGGCTCTTAATACCATCTCAGAATCAGTAGCTAGTAGGAAGGAGCAAGCTTAGGAGTCATGCTAGAGTTTAGGCCAGGCATATACTATCAAGAGAGTTGAGAACAAGAAGAGGGGTTTCACTATGAAGAGTGAAGTACAAATAGGGTAAGAAAAGAGGGTACACCACCAAGCAGGAAATTAGGATAACTACACTACAGCCAGAACTACATGCAGTTATAATAATATAACTTTGACACAATGCGCTTATGGTCGATCCTCAATTATAAGCGCACCCCTTGTAAAACCCTGTTTTATTATAAGCGCATGCATAATTTTTTATTTAAAACCTGCTAAACACAGTAACGAGTTTCAAAATTGAAGCGAGCCTAATTTCTTTATCGCTTCGTTTGACTCGCGAAGACCTCAGAAGCTGCGCGTCAGGTCAAGATGTGCTGGCATAGGGGCAAACTGACGTGTCTTTGCCCCTGTGTGTTGGAAAAAATGCGAAGATTGAAACAGGAATGGATGGTGGGAATGATTGCACTAGCAAGCAGTTGAGTACATATAGGAAACCCTAGATTGGGCTGTACTCACTATTGAGTACCCCACTGCAGGCTAGACAAATATAACATTCTGACAAAAAAATCGGTAGCGCGCGATTCTGATTCCTGGCTCTAATTTTTTTTGCCTCAATTGGAATGGTATGACTGAGATGTACATTTTGATTCTATAAATCTATATATCTGTATCTGTCATTATATAAGCGCATGCGCTTATAAAAATGACTCAATTAGAAACGCACCCCCCTAAAAAAAGCTGCTTTATTATAAGCGCAGGTGCACTTCTATCCGGGGTAATACGGTAGTGTCAGAATAGTGAAGAAAGGAATGACTGAATTGGCAAGCAGTGTTGGAATAACAGTTGAAAGTTAGAAACGAGAAAGAGAGTTTGGACTAGCAAGCAATTGAGTACATATAGCAAACCCTAAGTTGGGCTGTACTCACTATTGAGTACCCCACTGCAGGCTAGACAAATATAACATTCTGACACACCCCCATAGCCAAAGTGGGGTGTAATCAGCACAACAAGCAAAGCAAAACAAGCTCAGGGTGGATCACAAAGTCACCACACATTCTGAGCACAAGTACAAGAAGTAGCAGTTTATAGTTCACAAATACAAGCAAAGCTAGAGGCTATCACAGAGGGCAAGTGAGGAGGAGAAGGCTGGACTAATAGGAAAGGAGAGAGGAGGCAACGGCGGAAGCTGCAGACACACGGGCAACAGGAGCGGCGCGCACTGTGGCTACCGGAGGCGCACCTCCGGACTACAGGAGTAACTGGCTCCGCGGCTAAGACGAGCGGCAGGAGCAACGGACCCACGGGCGACTGGCGCAGCAGCATCACTGGGCTACCGGAAGCGCACCTCCGGACTACTGGCACTGCTGGCAACACGACGGCTACTTCCCTTCAACCTCCCCCACTGTCGCACCCCCCTTTCACACACCCCCTGCTGCACCCCTAGGTTCACTCACACTCCACCCCCTAGCACCACTCCGTCGACTCACACACACCCACCCCCCTCAGCGGTAGCTGCAGCAGTGGGAGACGGAGTAGGAGGAGGAGCAGGGGATGCCACACACCCGCCACCCAGCTTTCACCCCCATACTCGCCACCCCCAAACCCCAACACAGGGTAGGGCCGCGACGAAGACGGGGGCAGGGCCGGGCAGGGCAGGGCCGGGACAGGGCTGGGCAAAGTAGGGCCGGGCAGGGCAGGGACGAAGACGGGAGGGGCCGACGCGTGGCCCCCGCGCGGCCCCCCCCAAGGTCGCCTCGACAGGCGACGGGAAGTGGTCACGCGCGGGCCCCCAAGGGCGCCACTCCGGGCGACGGAAGGGGGGGCCGCGCGGACCCCCAATGGCGCCACGACGGGCGACGAGGGGGGCCGCGCACGAGCCCCCCGGGGCGACGAAACCGCCGTGCGCCCCGAGGCGCGCGACGGGCAGGGCACCGTCGCGTGCCACGGGGCACACGACGGGCAAAGCAGGGCGTCGCGCTGCCCCCAGGGCGGCGCGACGAGCAGAAAACCGCCGCGCGCCCCTAGCGCGCGGCGGGAAGAAAAAGGGCCGCGCGCCATGGGCGCGCGGCAGGCAGAAAGATAGCGCGCGCCCGAGGCGCGCGATAGGCAGTGTTGACAGCGGAAGCTTAGGTGGGCCCATCCACAGGATCGACCCAAGGGGGTCGACCTGCTCTGATTCCATGTTGGAATAACAGTTGAAAGTTAGAAACGAGAAAGAGAGTTTGGACTAGCAAACAGTTGAGTACATATAGCAAACCCTAAGTTGGGCTGTACTCACTATTGAGTACCCCACTGCAGGCTAGACAAATATAACATTCTGACAAGCAGGTGAGTACAAGTGGGAAACCTAAAAGTGTTGTACCCTATATGAACTACACCACTACAGCCTAGACAGACTATAGCATATATGTTTGACACACCCCCATGTTAGAATCAGGAACTGAATGGATGAACTAGGAAGCAGGTGGGTACAAGTAGGAAACCTAAAAGTGTTGTACCCTATATGAACTACCCCACTACAGCTTAGAAAGACTATAGCATATATGTTTGACACACCCCCATAGGCAAAGTGGGGGAGAACAAGAGGTCACAAGACCAGTCAAGAAAAGCAAAGCAAGCTCAGGGTGGATCACAAAGTCACCACGCAGTCTGAGCACAAGCAAATGTCCACAAGGCCAGTTCACATGCAGAGTTGTATATAGGAGAACAAACAATACAGTAAACACAACCTAGCAAGTATAAGCATGCAGGTATATGTGTAGAGAGTACAGTACAAACAAAGTCAAGAAGTAAGCAAGTGAGGCACAGTAGGTACAAGGCCTAGAACAGTACAGAAACGCTGATGATCACAAGGCTGAAGTGCCTTGGTGAAAACATCAGCAGTGTTGGCCTGAGAGGCCACGTAAGCAAGACGAAGCTGGCCACGCTGCTGCAACTCTCGAGCAAGGAAGTAGCGCAGAGCAATGTGCTTCGTTCTGTACTCTAGTCTGTGCTCCTGACACAAGGCAAGCATGGCCTTGTTGTCGACGTACAGAACTGGAGGAGAACGAGGCGCCTCTCCCAAGTTGTTGAGCAGGTAGGTGAGCCAGCGTAACTCCTGTGCAGCCATGGCCCCAGCGTAGATCTTAGCCTCACAACTGGAGCTGAGAACAGAAGAAGAGCGGGTAGACCGCCAAGAGACAGAGCCGGAACCAAGACTGAAGGTGTAACCCTATGACGACCGCTGCGTAGCCAAGTCGTCAACCCAGGAAGCGTCTGCGTGACCAGTGAGGACAACTCGAGCCCGTCCTCCAAGCACAAG